GCATTTCCACCCTCTGCTGATTTCAAGTACCACTCAAATGCTTTTTTCTCATCTTTTTGTGTTCCGATTCCATTTTCGTAACTAAAACCAAGATTGTATTGTCCTAAAGCGTATCCACTCTCTGCTGATTTCAAGTACCACTCAAATGCTTTTTTCTCATCTATTTGTGTTCCGATTCCATTTAGATAAAACACACCAAGATTATTTTGTCCTCTGGCATTTCCACCCTCTGCTGATTTCAAGTACCACTCAAATGCTTTTTTCTCATCTTTTCCTTCTGAATTTTGAAAGTTGCGCAAAAGAATGTTTAGTTGTACTTGCATATGTAATTGCTGAGATGTTTTTGTTTGAGTTTCACCAGAATTGAGCATATCATCTAAAACATTTATTGGTTCTAAAGTTTCTCCTGTAGTTGAAACTTCAGAGTTTGTTTGTAACTGTATCAACATATCGTCTATATTTTCATACTCGAGTAAACTACTTTTAAAGGTGCTGATTGTAGTATTATCTGATATATCTACTGATAATTCCGATGAATCATCTTCTTTTTCTAATGATGGCCACTCAATTTCTTTAAGCAGTTGATTCACTTCATGAATATCAGGTCGATTATTTGGTACATTATCCCAACATTGTTTATACAGTTCAACGTATTTGGTAGGCGTCCCTGAAATTGTAATTTCTTTTTCATCTGTTGGATTACAAAGTATATAAACTGTTTTATTTGATGGAATGCGACCGCTAGATAGAACCCAAAAAAGAATCCCAAGACTAAAGATATCAGATTTTTCATCTCGGCGAAAGTTATTAGGATTGCGTAAAAATGCAGGGTCAGTATAATTCATGATTCCATAATTAGTTCTCGAATTAAAATAATCATTTGAAAGTTTCGAATATCCTAAATCCGAAATTTTGATTGTCTCCTGATGCACCAGTACATTGTTATGGTTCTAGTAATTGATAAGTTAAGTTACATGTAAAAATATAGATAATTTCTAGGTAACCAATATTTATAGAAGCAGCTAATTATTCATTACCAGATCTCTATGAATTATTCCAGAATCATGAATAAATTTTAATCCATGAGCTAGTTGCAATGCAAAGTTTAATCTTTTATCTCCTGTGAGGTTTCGATTTTTTGTTAAGAAATCGCTTAGAGTACCGCCATCAGCATACTCCAAAACAAGTATGTATCCATCCGAAGTTTGATCTATTTCAGTTTATAACGATAAGTCCTCGCTCAAAGTTTATTTGATTTCTTTACATTGGTCCGTACCTTTTGTAATTCCATATAGTTGAATAATATTTTCATGTTGTTTAAGTTTAATAAGAAATTGTAACTAATAAAATATATGTATTAATTATAGTATTTCAATTTTATTACTTCAAAATACTTTATATACAAGTTACCTCTTTAATAAATTGTTTATTTATTTTCTTCTTAGATGTTTCTTTTTTTATCCAGAATCTTTTTAGCGCAACCGTCAAATTATCATTTACACATACTGCCTTTGACACTTCGCCAAATGCTCCGGTGCCTATTACTTTTTTATCTGTAAATAATTTAAAGTCGTAAAACTTTGTATCACGCCACTCATTCTTGTTGCTTGAAGACGATGAAGCTGTTAATGATGACATATGTTGTTGATGGTATAATTTATAAAAATACGATACAATTGTTCCTTTGTTAACTTTAAACATATACGCATACCAATACATGTACATGTACATGATTCTGTTACATGTACATGTGCAACCACCACAAAAAGTAACGGTAACACCGACCGATTTGCATGTGTAACAATATGGGGAAATATATGCGTTTTCACAATTTTTGTTATTGTTTCTAAATTTTTTTATTATTTTCTTCTTTTACTTTTAAACATACACTAGGCGAAATTTTTTTAGGTGTAAATATGATACCTCTCATACCAGTTGGCCATTTTTGACAAAGGATAAAAATAGGGATTTTTATTAAAGTTATGAATTTCAAGCAAGTTGCAAGAATAATGTGTCGTAACCCAGTAAGAGTATAATGATCTCTTGCCAAGTACAAAAGGAACAGGAAAAACAAAAATTTACCACCATCCGAGAAATCATAAGCTTTTAATAATCAAGAAACAAATACACTTATGCAAGAAGCTAAAAAAATCCTGAGTCATTTCATAATATTAATAATAAAAAATTCATACAAAAGCTTATTTAAGATAATTTGGTTTCTTTTAGCCACTCTTGATATAACGAAGTAGTCGGTTCTATATGTAAAACTTCATTATACATTATATCAAGCGGAAGTATTATATGGTTTATAATAAATTGTTCCTGAACTCAAGTTCATTATATTGCGATTTTAATTAGACTTTGTTATATTGAAGGGTTATTATATCAAGAGTATCTTTTGTATAATTTGTTTATTGATTTAAGAAAATATGATGTTACAAAAAATAAATTAAGAAAATATGATGTTACAAAAAAATAAAACTTGATCTATATTAGAAAAGAAGTTATGAATATAACATGTATTTAACAAAACATTCACTAGTTAGAATTTTTAAATTAAATCTTTAAAGATTCTCTATTAAAATAAAAATTCTCTAAATTCAAATAATAAAATTTTGTTCCAAGACAAAAATACATCAACTTTTTAAGGCAAAAGAAGTAAAGTCATCAATTTTGTTAAGCACAATAAAAGCTATCAATTTTGTTAAACACAAAAAGAAATAAAAACTATCGTTAAGGAATTAAGAGCCGAAACGTTAGGTAAGTTTCAAAAGTAAATATAATACTTATTTTTCTTCAAACTACTGATTGCTTGATTCTTAGACCTTTGAATAATTGTCCTTTAAATACAATTACAGAACTACATAACTATCTAGAGTACAAATGAGAACTTGGCACGAGTTTCGCGGGATCTGAAGGTACAAAGTATGAATTGTTTAAGAATCCTCACAAAAAGTGGCGTTGCTATGCTTCGATACAAAGAATCAAGTGTAATTATAAAAGTCTAACTACATGTTAATGTAGAACACCAAATGTGAATTTTGGTATGAATTTTGTAAGAATTTCTATGGATCAAAGAAATAACGTACGATACGAATGTTTAATAATCACATTCTTGAGATCGTGAAATAAGAATTAGGGTGAGGTTGATATCACAAAGTAAAGAATTTTGTATGAAATTTCGACGCGACATCTATTTTGATGCTGGGATTTGCTTCGAACATGCACAATCCTTTTCATTACACAAGAGCGATAGGCGTACCAAATCAGGAACTATACATTTATTTTGTTTTCCGGAATTACGCGGTTTTTTCCGATGCTACGGCAGCAGTGAAGTACAATGTACATGTTAACTACATGTAAATTGACTTTTTCAACCCTGCCGAACATTTTGCATATTTATTTGTCTTCTCCATGTCAGACTTTCAAATCAGAGTAACTTTAATTTATCAATTTATCATGTACGCATGCGTAGCTTAAAGTTGTGCAAAGTTTAATCAACGCATCCATGTACATGTATAAATATCGCTGTCAATAAAAAGAATGACTGATGATAGGATTTATCGATTATATAACCAGTTTTTCGTTGTATTTCACGTTAAAAATAAACAGGGTTTAGTTGCGTGATTTGTTTTTCATAGTTAAATTATTATCTTTTGCTAGATTCTTTTGCATTTAACTTTTGCAATTGTGACATGAGCTATGTATTAATATTTGTATGAAGCTGATACGTAATTCTTAAAACAACAAATGATGTTATCGTCTTAAAAGAACAAATATTTACTATTGTCCAATTTCATTAGTCCTTTTTTTGGTATAAATAACTTTAACAACGGAATTACATGTACATGTGTATGATTCAGGCGGATTTAACGAGAAGCTTAAATGATTTAAATTCTAAAGCCATCATTACTAATAAATGATAAAGGTATCTGCAAAGACTCACGTTTTAGAAAACTTATCTGCAAATTCACACAATGGAATCCAAATACTAAGAAAATAGAATTGTTGGCGATAAAGCGAAGAGTATTAGCTTTGTTCTATTTAAACAAAAATCTCATCCGATTATTGAATTAAACTGAATTTTTTAGTCTCCCAAATTTTACATGACACGTATTCGGCGGCTTAGCGTGAAATTTAGCGCTATTGTAATACATGTACATGTATGCTGTTAAGGAAATAATACATGTTGTTGGCTTACTGTCAAATTCTACCCCAGTCATGCATAGGTAATTGTAAATTACATGTACTCAACCTGCTTTTCAGAGGAAAGCATTAAACTCACAAGTATAAAAGCGACATCTCTTGTCTTTTTATTCAATCAATTCATCAAAGCACTACTTTATATTTTTTTCTATTTCTCCTCAACGAAGACATTGTTATACATAATAATAATAAACATGAATACACAAAGATACACTATCACCATCTTCATGCTGTTTGTCTTAATTTTAGTTACGAAAAATATTGTAGTATCGGCACCAGCGCCAGCACCTGATACCATGAGCACTACCACTGTGACGAACTTTGTTAATAGTATGTAGCTTGCGTGATTTTTATATATGATTTATCGAACAAAAAAATTAAATTTTTTGTTTTTTAATATAGGTACTTGTTTGCAAAATAATGGTACAACTACAGCCAACGATGCAACTGGTGCCATAAAGACCGTGGTAACCGATGCCACAACCTCAAGTTAAACTGAATAATCACAAACAATAGTTTGATTAAGCATTCAATATTAATAGAATATCTATAAAATAAAATTTACTGATTATGACGGGTCGGGGTTGTCAAATGTTTTGGTATTTCCCAAGATCCGGCTAAACATTATAATCTTAATACTAATAGATATTGTGACATTGCTCGTTTGTAAGCAAATGGCAGCATCAATGTTTAAAGTTCCCATCACTCATAATAAATTGAAATAGAAACGGTGCAAATTGTAAATCCTAATATAATAGACACTGTCATAATCCAATAGATATTTTTGAAAATGACACATGCTGTTACACCTATCCGTTTTCAAAAGATGGACAGACTTAACAGGTTTGTGAAAAGTTCAGGTGGTTGGATTGGTTCTTGGCGGGCTTCTTTGCAATGTGCTAAACGTTTCTGTACCAGTAACTACAGCTACTGAGGGTGGCAAAGGGTTTATAATGTTTGAATTGGGAGAGGGGGAAGGAATTACACGGCTAATTACAGCTGATTATTTAACTGTGGACTATTTTTTAAGGATTACGGGTTATTAAACAGAGTCACATGACCGTATGATCGAATCAAAGTCTCTTACGAATAGACTATGCTCACAAAGGAATTAATGCGACAATGGCTTTCTTCTGGTAAAAGTATAGAAACCCGAAGCTCAATAATGTAAGCAACAAAAGGTAATTCGCTTTGCTCTTTTATTATAACTTGTCTTGATTAAAGATCCAAGAGTGCCTATATTTTACATTTTTACATTTGAATTGATGTTCTAATGAATAACTCCATTTTTACAGTGATCGAAATAGTGAAAAACACATACAAAACACAGAATACAAAGTATTTACAAAGTGTGTACAAATTTATAAATAACGCTTAAATTATTGTAACAAATAAAGTAAATAAAAAAGCAAAAAGAAAAACAAAAACATGCAAAAAGATTATAGTGTTCAATTGATCTTAAAGAATTATCTTTTATTGGAACGGAATAATAAAAAATAAGAAATGTAATTAAACGAAATACTACGCTACTATTGGGTATTATTAATTAAAGTGTTCGAAGTACATAAGTAATGTGGTTTGGGGTTAGGGTTAGGGTTAGGGTTATTGCTTTTTATGATTATTGTTATTGTTATTATTATATTTTTTTGGTTGTTTTAATTTTTTCGTTATTAGTTTCCAAAAGTAGCATGAATCAATTACCTGCCGGTCATGTCAGTAAAATCACGGATTTAGATCACAATTAGGGAAACTTTAATTCCAAAGGTAAATTAAGTAACAAACAACTTCTGAAGTCATATTTATAAGCATAAATTTTTCATCCTAAGAAGAAAATAATAAAATACAATTTTTATTTTACACACAATACATAATACAGTGGTCTAGCAGAATATTGTGAACACTTTTAAATTTTAAATATCAAGCTAAATAAGCAAATTATTGAAAATAAAAAAAAATTTCAATTCTTGGAAGTTTAGCTTTCAAACAAAAAAAGAAGAAAAATTCCATACAGTAGTATTTGAGAAAATTGCATCTAATGAATTTATAATTTTTGATTACAAAAATCATAAGGAAAGTTTTCTAGCATAAAGAAAATATGCGATGTCTCGATACCCAATAAACGAAATTAACACCATTTTGATTCTTCATAACGACGAATCAGATGGTGATATTTTTGTGGATATTGGATATCGAGATATCGCACATAAACGCATAATTAATTTGACTTGTCACAACTTTTACGAGTGATATCTCATCATTCGCATCTTCTAATCAAATGGCGATAAAAGTCAAAAACGATCACCAATATTTTTTTGGCGACTTCAAGATGCGATAACTTGATACGCAGTGATCGGAATCGCACCATCCGATTCGTCTCATTATGACGAATCAAAAGGTAGCAATTTTTTGTAACATCGACCACTGATATTTCTTTCGTCTTAACACTTTCCTTTACTAATGATTTACGTATTAATGAAAAAATTACTACATGGAATTTCTTTTTTTTGTTTGAAAGCTAAACTCTTCAAGGAGTTAAAATTTATTTTTATTTTTAATATTTTGCTCGATATTTAAAATTTAAAAGTGTTCACAATATTCTGCTAGGCCTCTGTAATAGTGTAATTAAATATTTATGTTCATAAATCATTCTGAGCAATTGCATGTTATAATCGTATCGTTGATTCACAATAGATGGCTCATCGACATTCTAATCGAAAATCTATGCTTGTAGTTTATATTTTTTCTTCTTTGCTTGCTTACTGGATGCATTCCTCTAAAATTTAATTAAATCTCTAGCATCGTGATTTTGACCGAATTCCATAAATCATCCACATAGTTACTAACACTTACAAACATGAATGTGGAATTTTATTTGTTCAATATGTTGACACTTCACACAATTATTGTCAGTAGTATACGTACATTTAATTTCAAACATGTTTGATTTTATAAATAACCAAGAAACCTGTGTGGTATTTAATTGATAAAATTCATGTAAATTGTTATCATGTACCAGCCATTCTGTTTATAACATAATCTTCAATTGTGTCGGGAGATAAGCTTGATTTGTATATAGAACTATATTTTATGAAAATAATGCTTTAATGCTTTTACGAAAAGCACATTCATGATTTGATTTGGTAATACATGTACATGTTGTATATGAAGCTTCTGTTGAAAGTATTTAGATGCGCAACCTAGGGATGTAAAAACTAGCTTATAGTTTTATTTTAATAACATTCAATTCCGTAATTCCTTTAATTTTTCCTTAAAATTTGTTAAGAGAATATCGCTGCCAGAACTTCTCGATCATCATTGATATAATACAAATAATTGACCGAAACTTCTGTAATAATTGCGATTAACAATTAAGCATCTAACCTCGATATCTTTACTGTAACGACCTTAGGATTTCTGAGTCAATAATTTCTTTAGTAATTATACGATACAGATATTATTTACCAAATTTTACCATAATTTTTGGACTAATCGTAATGTCCAACACCAATTAGTCTATCTTTGCCCCCCCCCCCCTTATTAATTTTATTTGTTATGATTATCAGTTTCTCGATCGATCTCTTAAGAAACATACATTTTTGATAGTGTTTGATATTCTATATCTTGAAATTCAAGACTTTGTTATTTCTCTAATGAGCTTACTTGTATTGTTCTTAAATATATTGTCTAGAACCTATAGTTAGAATAAAATATGATAGCATAGCATAGAATTAACAATAATCAATTGTATAAAAAGGTGAGATGCTAGCCTTTGAAAGACATGCTCTAACCAAATAAATAAAAATTAACCTTCTTACCTGTAATAACTCATTTACTTGTAAATTAACTATTTTTGTTTTATTTGGTTATCTTCAACCTTGCATACAAGTAGTGAACGTAATTCGACTTTGATTTTGTTGGTAGAAACTAAGCCCAACCCTTGACTTTGCGTACTGTAGTTTTTTGGTTAGCTGAAACCATCTGGATGTCTGCTTCCGAAGTAACTTTTGATAAACGCGTTACTTTGCTATAGATGATCAGAAATCCTCTTGAGCTCCTTTTGTAGTCTAGAGTATACTCTTTTTGTTACTGTTTATCAGAAACCTCCTTAATATCCTATCGACACTAAAATTTAGCATTTGTGAAAGGTTGATTTGAACACAAAACATCTCACATCTTTACTCAATAAGACAAAAAAATGTCATTCAATGACTAATATGTTTTATACATTGAAACATTGAATTTGCATCTCTAGCGTAAATCCTGTTGTTTTGAATATCTGTAACCAATAACAAGAGTATGAAGAATATAATTAATAAGTTATTTTGACACATTAATCATAATTTTTGACTCGATTCTAGTCCTTATCTTGACCTTAAAAATCTATTTTTAACCATTGCATTACACAATGTCTGATTCAGAGTCTGATCAGTAAATCGATAACACAATTTCAAGGTTAGGATTAGATTAGTTAGTCATGAATATATTTGTGATCAACATATGTAGGTATAACTGTATTATTGTTCACCGACAATATTTGCACATAATAAATGCATATAAAAATAACTTCGATATAAGAAATGTTCATTATTTGATAATTCAAAATTAATCTATTTAACTTTCTTTTGTTATAAGAAAATTGATTAGTAATCTCTCGACAAAAACAAACTTTTTTGTTGGACTTAGTAGTTTTATAATTTTGCTGTCGCAACAAAAAAATCCTGTGATTATGAAAATTCTGGAATGTTGCGAGATCTTCCTAATTAGTAATATTTCACGAAAAGAATTACATGCACATGTATTATTTGAATTTTATTATATGTTAATTATTACTATAAAAAATTAAAATTGAATAAAGTTCTATTATTTATAATCAAAATAAAAATAGTTAAAGTATGTATTTGAATATGTTATTTTAGAACTATTACAGTGACGATCAAAAGTAAAGGAACGCAAAATTGAAAATTGTTAAATCGTGATATCTTTACACAGACTTGAGAAAATCAAATTATAGTTGATAGATTTAATTAAGTATATGCAAATAACTTTAAATGTAACAAATTCAAACCAGACTATTAAGTTAATTATTTCATAATCATAATATTTATTCATTTTTTAGTGTTGCATTATATTTGCTCATTTTTAATAAAATTTATATAATCTTCAAAAAACATTATATTTTTTAACTATACCCAATATATTATCATCTAGTATAACCATCATGTGCTTTATTATGTCAAAAATTCTTTCTGGCATAGAACAAATTAAATTCATATAATAATTCATATCAATTTCCTTCCAGACCAGCTGAATTTTTCCACAAGTCTTCTGTATCTGAAATTAATCCTGAAAGATATCAAAGATAATAATCTACTTTATTTTATAAATATTTAATTAGATTTAAATTGAATAATTGTGCTGACCAATCTAAAATAGTAATATTATCATCATCAAAATTGTTATATATTTAGAATTATTGTTCTATTAGAAAATGATC